CCGAGGTCCCACGAAACAGAAAGCTGCGGCTGTGCTGGACCAAGGGCTGTGTGAAGCTCTGTAGAGAGCGCGATATGGAAATCAGTATTAATGAAGTTGTTGACGCTCACCATAAAGATCCTCGTTAAACGTTCTCCACATTTAGAAGCTATGTTGTCAGCCTAAAAGCTGTATCAGTGTGCCTTGGGACGGACACCGCGGTTTAGACCCACGAAACAGAAAGCTGCGGCTGTGCTGGACCAAGGGCTGTGTGAAGCTCTGTAGAGAGCGCGATATGGAAATCAGTATTAATGAAGTTGTTGACGCTCACCATAAAGATCCTCGTTAAACGTTCTCCACATTTAGAAGCTATGTTGTCAGCCTAAAAGCTGTATCAGTGTGCCTTGGGACGGACACCGCGGTTTAGAAACGATCCACATACTCATCAGTTCCTCATAGACCTCGAGTCATGGTCAGCTTGTGCACTGGACTTACCTCCAAAAAGTAGCTGATGTGTTAGCCCAGGTTTTCTGTGAGTGGAGTTGTGCAGTTTGAGAGGAGGAGGAAAGCACCTTGTTCAGCCCCATGTTAACCAGACAGTTACTGTTGTACGTTCAGCGGCCTCTTTTTTTGTTGAGTTAAGTAGTTTCAAATCGTTCTTAGGGATTCCTGAACTAATCCACTGAATGAACTAATTATTTTCTATCTTATTTCTAGGCTTGTCAAATTGCGAATTTTGGAGTTAAGAGAAAATCACTTGAAAACTCTACCAAAGTAAGTGGTTGAATATTTACATAAGTCTCTTTCACCTGAAAATTCAAGAGTTGCAAATTGTTAGCAGTGCAGTGGTGGCATTTCTGTTAAGAGTGATTTTTTTCCATGACTTAAAGAAATTCTACTGAAGGTTCTTACCAAAAGGCAAACATATAATGGAAGATAGAGTCTGGTACATCAGCTGACTGTAACTCAGTATCCAAATCTGTAACGTGACATTTTAAAATATGAAATGTAAACACAATTGGAAAACAACATGTGAGAACCCTGGTCAGTGATGCTGTGACAGTATTTTCCTCACCAAGAAGTAATCTGATGTATTGAAAACGGATGCAATGTACCTTCTGTACAGCAATCTCCCCATGTGAGCTGTACAGCAGTTAAATGTATTTGGTGGTTTACAATACTATTCAGAAACCTGTATGCTCGGAATAGTGAAAAATGTCAATCTAGTGTTGTTTCTTGGTGCTATTTAACAAAAAAGTAAGTTGCTACACGTTGTTGCTATATTTTGACCAACATTTAAGTGGTATTTTGAAAAGAAGACAGTAAAGCAATGAAAAATAAAACTAAAGCCTTCCCATGGTAAATTTAGGAATGCACTGCATGAAGCAAGGGATACGGTCGTGTTCAAACCAAGGAAGAAATACCCATGGCTGCGGGGGCTGTATGTCCCCGTTGTGATACCTGCAGTGGAGACAAGACACTGTATTTATGAAACGTTGGTAGTATTGAGCTGCAGGTTATTGAGCTCCTTTAAGAAGGGCATCCTTTTTAGCAAGCGTGCGTTTACCAAAATCTACGCAGGGGTTTTGCCTATAATGGGATATAGTGACATTTTCACTACTCCTGGGGGCTTTTATCCGCAGCACTTTCCTTTTTTAAGGAAAGCTATTTTTGTGTTCAAGGCAATATTATTTGTATCAGTGGAAAACACTTTTTATATTTCAATTTCCTCTGTTCTGAGTTACATTTATTGTTTTTTTGGGGAAAAAATAAAGCTTCAATCCGCTGCCAAAGTGTTTATCTGCACTTAAAAATGAGAGCTGTTCATACAGCAGGTTTGCAGCCTTTGAGGGCTTTATCACCTGAAAGGCTGCAGCGATGCTGGAGTATGTGCATGTTATCAACTCCCCTCTTCAACATCAGGCTCTTTTAGAAGGGAATTGCATGGCCTTTCCATGCAGAAGGTGCCATTGGGATAAACGGATGTGTGCACGCTAGGGTTGAAGAATCGGAATTCCGTGACAAAATAATTTTGATCAAACAGAATGTTTTTATATTTCTGGTCTAATTCTAATCCCATTAAAGGTGGTAACGGATTTGTGGCTGAAGTCAATGGAAGCAAGCCTGGGGTTGTCTTTGTTAGTAATAAAAATGGTATTTTCGGTGATATGTGCTATTTAACAGGTACGTTTTGTCAAGTTTCGGAAGCAGTTGGAAGATTCGTACCTAAGCGTAGTGGGCTCTGGTCTCAGTAGCACAAAGTTTGTGAAGGTGGCTGAGCATGACTTCCCACTGTAGGATTCTGAAAGTAAGGAGGTTCTTTGATTGTTGTAACCAAGGGAAACGTTATTTGTAGGCGTGTTTCTTCCCTGCTCCTTGCTGTGGCAGAAGGCTTGGCTATACGCTGCTGAGAGGGCCTGGAAAGAGAAGGTTTTGCTTGTGCAAATGCTGATAGATAAAAGGGACAGCTGTGTTATGAATAAGAGGAAGAAAGTTGGCAAGGTCATTTTTGCGTCAACCAGACAAAAACAGGGGATTTCTGCATTTCTGGGCTAGTTCTATCCTCTGGAGTATTTTCTCTGCAAGGAAAAACTGGTGTCGAGTGCAATGGATGGGCAGGAGTTAACACATATTACAGAGAGTTAGTTTAGAGGATACACGTCCTGCTTCCTACTTTGGGTGAATTTGACCTCTTTTACATAAAGACGGTAACTGCTGGGCTGAAGCACCATCTCCTTTCACCCTGGGAGTGGGCCTGGGACGATCTGGGCTGAGCGTGGGAGGTCAGGGAGGAGCGTGGCAATGCCACGGGTGGATGCAGACACGGTGACGTGGCAGGAAGAGCGAACGCAGTACCAGGATGTTGTTTAGGCTTTACAGGGAAACAGGAAAGCGTTGAATACCAGACTCTCTTATTTCCTCAGCCAATAAGTAAAGGAGAATTGTGACAATAAAACTGGCTACAATAGAACCCTCTAGGAAAAGAAAGGTGATAATTGAAATCAGAATATATTTTACAATCTAGTTGTGGTGATGCAGGTCTGTCAGATTTATACTTAAAGGCTTGCTTTCTTATATTACGATTTTCTAGATATGCCACGAATAAGATAACCTGATTACGTTGATGGCTTGTCCAGTAGTTCCAATGTAAGAAAAGGCATGAAGAGGAAGACATAATTTTAATATTGTAATTTGGCTTTTTAATAGAGGTGAAACTTACTGTAAGCCTGTTTTAAGTATCTTCTGCTTAGTACTATTACCCTGTTAAGTGCAACTTAAAAGCTGTTCTCAAAAAGCAGAGCATATTCTTTCATCTGTTCTGTGCTGTAAAATCTGTGTGTAAAGAATGTATGATGGAAGCATTTAGCATTTTGGCATAAACAGGCATTAGATGTGCTTTGTGTTTACCACCGCTCCAACGTTGCTGTATTTCCTACCAGCTCAACAGTCAAGACTGTTGTAGGATGTATCCATGGCAACTGAATGCAAGATGGTCTAAAATTATTTACCAACAGATCAGCTTAAGTAAATACCAACTATGGTTGGCTGGAAGCTAGCTCTTTAACCCGAGCATGCATCTCTGAGACCTCCCTTTTTAATACATCTTGCAGTAAAAAATAAGGCCTTCCCTTTGTTGAATTTGTGGCAGTAATTTTACGGCATCTCAACCACGTCCAAACATATCACTGCATTCCCAGACGCTTTCCTGATGGAAAATTAGCGAAGCATCGTTCATAAAGCGCTTTGAAGGTTCTCCTCATTCCTTCTGACAAGCACAGCGAGCGTTTCGGATGCCGCTGTCTTGCTGTATCATTCTGGGCTGGAGCCATGCCTTGCTCTTCGGATGGTCCCATTTTCTGTCGGCAGTACTTGCTCTTCACGAAAATACGCCTAGGCTTACAAATGTTTTTCACATACCGAAAATACTTGTGTGTTTAATCTATTAATCTTGCCAATACTGTTTGTAAAATCAGTAATGTATCTTCTCTCTTCCGTGGTTTGATTGAAGATTGTCATTCGTGCTGCTTTCCAGCATCTTTTAAGCATTTAGAAATATGTGGAAATCTCTGGCCAATATTGCAAACAATTTTTTTAATGTTTTAGTAAAGCTTTAATTTATGCAGCAAAAAATAGAAAAACCTTTTTTCTAGATAAAATTCTAGAAAAAAAGAATTTGTCTTAAATTTCTGTTAAATGTTTCGGAGTAATTGGGACCAGATTTCTCACGTTTGGAAATGTTTCTCCTGTTACCCCTAGAGCACAGGGTTGTCTTTTGACTTGAAGAACCAACTGAGATCACTTGTATTGTCCTGTCAGGATAAAAGTGTGCTTGATGTCTGGGCGCTGTGACAGCTCGTGACATCATTGTGTCACAGCGCGGGGGGGTTCACAGGCCGTGGCTCCCGATAGCTCCGTCGCACTCTGCTCTGTGGTGCTTCCCTGCTGAAGGTGTATTTGAAGCGCCGGGCGAAGCTTTCCGTGGTGTTTTCATTTTGCACCCAAACTGAGGCAATGAAAATCAGCGAACGTTCCCGTTAGCTTCCGTGGGTTTGAAATGAGGCAGCGTGGGCTTCAGCGTTTAATTGGTCTGTGACCAAGTCATTTCGCAGAGTGGAGAGGAGTCGTTCCCAGTTTTCTATAAAAAAAAAGTTGTTCAACCTGGTTTTGAGTGCATAACTACTGACTGAATATACGTGCCTATTGCAAAATCATGGTGATGAACCAGGAGGTGATGAGTTTTCTGATAAATGCTATTAAGTGTGTGTGCATGCGCGTGTGCGTGCACCTCCCTTGGTGAATTAGGTGTTCACGTTATCGTCTCAGTATTCCCATTTCAGCCCAGATAACCAGCTTTCGTACCCCTGTTACCTCCTTCTCTCTTTCTCACTCTTAATTATCGATTCAGCTTTTATGGCTTTGTCTCACCTCTGTAACAAACTGGAGTGCTGTTTTCCTGTACGACTGCACAGTGAGGCATTGTTTTTCATCTAGTAGCTAAGTAATTATTAGGTTAGCCGTGCCTGTGCTGATGTTTTTGAAGCCATTTACCAAATACCTTTTGTGCTGGAGCCGGGATCTCCAAGGCCTGTACTTCGTTATAAGGCTGCCCTTTATGAATGGCTGGAAGTGTTGGACACCCCTGTAAGACCCGCAGAGCGGTCTGACAGTGACTTTCTAATTTGTATGATTAATGCAACCACTCAGATGCGTGGGATATTTCATGGTTTTCTTTGAGGAGTTACATAAATGATACCAAGTTTTCCCACTGTTTGGTAAGTGGATTGTACTGAATGCGCGGGAGTGCAGGTACCAAGCTCCTCTGTTCCTGTCAACAGTTATTGGTGTAGCAAGTGCACTTTTTCTAACCATTAGTTGTTTCTGGGAAGTTATTTTGATCTGATTGGATGAAAGTTCACAGTGGGTACAAATACAGAAGCCACGTTTGCGCTGCCTACGCTGTAGGAATCAACTTTACATCGTGATGAGTCAACCTGAACTCATGCAGCCGGGGCTGTGTTCTGCAGTCGGCTGTGATTCCTGCAGCTCCGACTGTCGTTCGGGGCCTGTGCCCTTTTCCTGGAGGCTAACTGTAATAAATGCATGTTAGACAGCACATCTTCCGCATAAGGTCTGATATTCTCCCAAAAGCAATGGGAAAAACCAAAAGTGCGTGTTCATGTTGGATGTTCAAATTGGATTCTACCGAAGGGCAGCTGGTTAAATCGTAGCATTGTTTTCCTGGGGTGTTTTTTCCTCTCGTAAGCAATAAGGCA